TCTTTCTTTCTCTCTCTCTCTTGGAAAATGCGGCGTTAAACAAACTCTCTTTCTCTCTCTTTTTTCCTTTCTTTCTCTCTCTCTCTCTCACACACACACACACACACACACACACACACACACACGCAGAAGCACAAACACAAAGGGATATTACGGCAAAGCACTGTAATTATTTGACATTCTTTACGTCAACGATGTATAACATTCACAAATTGTACCCATGTTAAGGCGACCACCAATCACTCACTCCCAATCCCTGAGAGCTAAACGGTAAAACACTTGACTATCACACCAACACAACCCGTGCATGCCTTCAGATTAAATACAGATTTTCTACTTATTTGGCAGTGAATAGTTAAGACTGAAGCTTCGATCTAAGAGTGCCGGGTATATATGTAAGGGGTGTTTAGACTTAGAATGTCAGATTCAGTCATTTATCATTGATTTGGAATTGTCAAGATGATCTGAGTTACTTTTGAACTGTCATGACTCACCACAGTTTTAACATGTGTATGAATGTATCTGAGAACGAGGCTTGTAGGGACCATTATTGTGATTAATAACCATAGGATCTATGGAAATTGTTCGGATTGAGACCCGGGATAGAATAGGTCTTCAGCAACCTATGCTTGCTGCAAGAGGCGACTGACAGGATCGGGTGGTCAGACTCGCTGACTTGGATGTACAGTAAACTACGGTTATAACGAACACGTTTATAACGAACTGACGGATATAACGAACTTACTTTTTAGCCCCGACTATTTGCTGTAGTTATGCTGTTTATATGCTTATAACGAACTACGGTTATAACGAATTAAAAAAAGTAGTCCCTTTGAGTTCGTTATAACCGTAGTTTACTGTATGTCACCGTATTCCAATTGCGTAGATCGATGCTCGTGATGTCAATCACTGGATTTTCTAGTCCAGATTATTTAAAGGCCGCCGTCATATAGTTGGAATATTGCTGAGTGTGGCGTTAAACAACAAACAAACAAACAAACAAACACTAGCGGAGACAGTTCGAACTACACTTACTGAGGCTGCCACCCGCCGCGTTTTGGTATATACGCGGTAAGCGGTGTTCTATTGTTTTGTGTATTCGGAACTCAGTTGTAACGTACACAGGTATTCTATGCGAGTGAACTGATGTTGTTTTACGCCGTATTCACCATATCCCATCTCTACCACAGTGGCCTTCAAATACTCGAGCCTGGATCAGACAAACCAGTAACACAACACAAAGTCATACAGGTAACATCGGTCTCATAAGTCGGCTCCCACAAGCAAAAAAAACCTGAGATCTATTCTGATCATAGTTTCCCACGGAGACAGTAATATGACGTGACGGGTTCTAGTTTTTAAAGAACTACATGCCCTCTGTGGTTCGAACATCACGGCATCGTCAATCACTGCTCCTTACGGAGAATGCATGACAGTGTGGTCAGGCCCTGCACAGTGCAGACCTGTCCGCATACAATATGTAGCGGGCACATGCAGCTAATCAGAACTAACAGCCTGTCTGCACGCGCCCACCTGCATGCAACTGCACAGGGATTGGCAGCTGGTGCAGTGCAGTATGAACACATAACATCGATAAGTGTAAACATTTAAAAACATATTTTATTTAACACTAACCAACAGTCAGAGCTCCAGATATTTTTTTGCGCAGTTGAGTTTTTACTCTAGGGTTTCTATTTTAATTGGGTTATTACATTTTTCATTGGGTAACCAATATGTTTTCACTCATCTATTCATCACTCTGTAGGGTTTTTCCTTAAATTAGTGAACATTTTAAGATTTAAAACAAATATAATAATGTTTTAGATGTATATAACTGTTCTAAATAATATAGGCTTGACTCGGAACGTAAATTAGCTCGTAATTGTGTTTCGGAAATAAGCACGCATGCTAAAAAAGCTTCATTGGGTATTTACGCGAGCTGTTTTTATACATTTGAGTTATTCCTTAATTGAAAGTAATTAGGTTTTGAATATTTATTTTATTTATTTTCAATTATTTAATTTTTTATTTATTTTATTTATTTATTTATTTATTTATTATTATTTTGTGTGTGTGTGTGTGTGTGTGTGTGTGGTGGGGGTGGTGGTGGGGGGGGGGGGGGGGGGGGGGGGGGGTATTTTACGCAAATAGGCTGCTTATCTGTTATTCTGCCAACACGTTTGATATTGACCCAAAACTTACAGAATTGTACATATTGTTAATAATGGTCACATATTTTGTAACATGTAATGGTAGCACATTTCAAGCTGACCGTCCCTGCAAACAGATTGCCCTGTATACATTTTTTGTTAGCGGTAAAAAAATTGAACAGCTCATAATCATTGAAAGCCAAGACGAATATACAAGTGTGTTTGTCAACGCCAGACCAGGGCATGCTTATTTCATTTCAAAATATATGTGATATTGTATCTAATTATAAGAATCGCACCTAACCCATTTCTAAACGACTATATTTGTTAGAAAAACACTGTGTTAAACTGCGAGGCAAAAGAAGGTATACCGAGTTTGTTTTTTGTTAAATTCAAACTTGGAAAAAAATGTTAAATTTGATCATGTCTATTTTACCATCACTCATTCCTGCAACAGTTTATAAAAAGTAATCTGAATCTATGGCTGGGTAATTTTGGGTAAAACTAAACTGGTTCAATGAAGACTGGGATAAGAAATTAATTTACAACCACGTGACCCCTACCATATTTGAAAGTTTGTCCCCCCCAAAAGCAAATTTATTGATTTTCAAAGATAAGATGTCTGAAAATACTATCACCGGTTGTGTAAAATGCGAAGTTTTTAATTTTTAAAAGTCTTAAATAAAAATATATTTAAAAAATGTAACCATGCAGAAGTCTTCTTTTAGTGCTGCCTAAGTGCCTAAAATCGATAACTTAAGATATTTTGAATTGACATCAAACATAAGATAAAAAATTTAAATTGACATCAAACATAAGATAAAATCAACTGAGAGAATACTTTCTTTCGTCCCACAGTTTATATTGAAGACAGTGTTGCATCTGCGTTGTTAGATTTGTCCCAGATGTGTTGAATGTGCCAGGATCCGCTAGTCATTGGTCCGAAATCTAGTCCGATTATGTCCCTTCATCTGGTTTACCATTCCCGTGCTCGTGAGTTTCACCAAAGCCGTGAAAGTCTTACGCGTCACGGCTTCCCACATAAATCGATATATATCTGAAATAATGTTCAACGGCCTTAAATTCAACTCACTCAATAAATATTATACGCTTCCTGAATCGCCTGTTGCAAAGAGTACATAAGTTTCTGAAATCAAATCGCTTGTCCTCGCTCACACTGTTATTCATGAAAAACAAGAGTTGTCTCCCCTTTTCGTCTCTCCAGTTAAAGTTGAATCGGTGCAAGAAGTGCCGTAGAATATCACCTTGACCAATGTTTCAAGCGGCTATAAAATATCTAAGATTGGCTGAGATGTGGGTGCAATGTCATTTGGATGTCATGGTAAATCATTCGTGATATCTACTTCGTCTTCCCAAAAAGAACATTTGATGTACTCATATATTCTGGGATTGCGCAGAGTACAGAATTCCAGAATGTAAAATCGTGTCTGAGAGAGAGTCTCTCTGGCTGGAATATTGCTAAGTGCGGCGTTAAACAAACAAACAATCTCTCTCTCTCTCTCTTTCTTTCTCCCTCTCTCTCTTACTTTCTTTCTACCTCTCTCTTTCTTTCTCTCTTACTCTTTCTTTCGCTCTTTCTCTTTCACTCTCCCTCTTTCTCTCTTTCTCTTACACTTTCTCTCTCTTTCTTTCTGTTACTTTCTCACTTTCTTTCTCTCTCCCGCTTCCTCTTTTTATCTCTCCCTCTCTCTTTTAATCTTTCTCGCTCTTTCTCTCTCTCTCTCTCTCTCACACACACACACACACACACACACACACGGTGTATATTATAGTATTCTTGTGAAAGAGCCAACTGTAGTGAGAGGTATGGGGTTGTTACAGTGTGTGACCTGGTTGACAGCGTGTCCCCATACCCAGGCATTCATGTTATTGATCACTGGTTTGTCTGATCAGGAATGGATCCTTTATTGTTCGCTCTTTTGCCAACCTCATTAAAATCACATCTTTATCTCCCATACGATCCATCACTGTGTGAAGATTACCTGTAGCATTGCATTACGGCGCAAAACAACACTCGCTCACTCGTCACAGACGTTCATTGCATTGCTAAGGCTCACTCACTCACTCACTCGTCACAAAGAGTCATTGCATTGCAAAGGCTCACTCACTCACTCACTCGTCACAAAGAGTCATTGCATTGCTAAGGCTCACTCACTCACTCACTCGTCACAAAGAGTCATTGCATTGCTAAGGCTCACTCACTCACTCACTCGTCACAAAGAGTCATTGCATTGCAAAGGCTCACTCACTCACTCGTCACAAAGGTTCATTGCATTGCCAAGGCCCACTCACTCGCTCACTCACTCACTCGTCACAAAGAATCATTGCATTGCAAAGGCTCACTCGCTCACTCGTCACAAAGAGTCATTGCATTGCAAAGGCTCACTCGCTCACTCGTCACAAAGGTCCATTGCATTGCAAAGGCTCACTCACTCACTCGTCACAAAGGTTCATTGCATTGCCAAGGCTCACTCACTCACTCACTCACTCACTCGTCACAAAGGTTCATTGCATTGCCAAGGCTCACTCACTCACTCACTCACTCACTCGTCACAAAGAGTCATTGCATTGCAAAGGCTCACTCGCTCACTCGTCACAAAGAGTCATTGCATTGCAAAGGATCACTCACTCACTCGTCACAAAGGTTCATTGCATTGCCAAGGCTCACTCACTCGCTCACTCACTCACTCGTCACAAAGAGTCATTGCATTGCAAAGGCTCACTCGCTCACTCGTCACAAAGAGTCATTGCATTGCAAAGGCTCACTCACTCACTCACTCGTCACAAAGAGTCATTGCAATACAAAGGCTCACTCACTCACTCACTCGTCACAAAGAGTCATTGCATTGCAAAGGCTCGATCACTCGTCACAAATAGTCATTGCATTGCAAAGGCTCACTCGCTCACTCGTCACAAATAGTCATTGCATTGCAAAGGCTCACTCACTCACTTACTCGTCACAAAGAGTCATTGCATTGCTAAGGCTCAATCACTCACTCGTCACAAAGAGTCATTGCATTGCTAAGGCTCACTCACTCACTCGTCACAAAGAGTCATTGCATTGCTAAGGCTCACTCACTCACTCACTCACTCGTTACAAAGAGTCATTGCATTGCAAAGGCTCACTCATTCGTCACAAAGAGTCATTGCATTGCTAAGGCTCACTCACTCACTCACTCACTCACTCGTCACAAAGAGTCATTGCATTGCAAAGGCTCACTCACTCACTCACTCGTCACAAAGAGTCATTGCATTGCAAAGGCTCACTCACTCACTCACTCGTCACAAAGAGTCATTGCATTGCTAAGGCTCACTCACTCACTCGTCACAAAGAGTCATTGCATTGCAAAGGCTCACTCACTCACTCACTCGTCACGAAGGTTCATTGCATTGCTAAGGCTCACTCACTCACTCGTCACGGTTTAAAGGTTTAAGGAATACACCAAACTCATTTACTTTACTGATTATATTTTCTCATAAGTGTATTTGATGTCTTCTGACTTTGGTGAACTTGTACATGACTCCAACCCTCGAGTGCCGACACCTGCTGTTGGACAACTTCTTGAACTGTTCATGCGGGGGCGGAACCTTTCCCGAACATTTGTCTGTTTTGCACATCTCGGGATGCGTGTTTGGTGACGACACAATGTCGGAATGGCTCCTCAGACACTGCGGTGGTGAACGACGTGATGCCTCCGCGAAAGAATGGTGGTTAGTTTTGTTGTTCACTATTTCTTGCATAACTGCCTTGTTGCATGCACTCGGTCTTCCCTTCACTGTCGCCATTTTGAATCTGGTAGAGGTGTTGGTAGATGTTGACGACGCGCGAGGAAGCACAGACACGGAGGAAGAAGCCCGTCTGGAATTCACATCCCGAGGTGTGTGAGTCACGATAATCGGGGACTTCTCAACATCCAGGTTCTCCTTGCCCTTAGCGTTAGAACTGTCTTTCAATTTGACCCTGGTTCTTGTTGTCCCTGCGGTCAAACTGGCACCGGAAGACCGCAGCGGAAACGCCGAGGAAACCTTCCTCACGGTCTTGGGTGTCGTCTGCTCGTCCTTCTCGACCACAAAACTGCGGCATGACTCCAGATGCTGCGGAGATTGTCTGGGCGTGACGTCTGGGTCGTGCATTGACATATACTCCTCCCACGTCAGGTACAGGCGTTTAGATTGTCTCGGGTTCTGGGAGCACGGGGCGGACTTGTTCCTCCTGGCTGACGCGGGGTCGGTCTTGCTTCGTCTGCTGCCGAAGAGGAGCGTCCGAAACTCGCTGATACTGGGTCCTTGCTCGGTCAGATCATTCAGCATGAGGCTCTTGTTGCTGGAAACAAGATATATCATCAGGGAACATCATCATCATCATCATCATCATCATAATAATACTTTTAAAAATAATGATTTAAAAAATCAATGATAATTTGACATTTTGAAATGATCATTAGGTAGACTAAATTTAGCTTATAACAAACCTATGACAAACGCAAATGGTAAATGTATTTTTAAAATTATATTATAACTCTAAGCAAATTACCAATCTCATTAAAATCAGATCTTAGTTCTCACTACAGCGAAACAAAGATCTGAGAACATCCCATTACAGGTCACGTCAGACCGACCTTTCGCGCACTTTGGCCGACCAATGACTGACAAGACGATGACATTAGCCAATAAGAAGGCAGCTTTTTCGTGCTTTAAGGTACTAATTTCAAATTGACGCCTACTCCTCGAAACATATTTTGACAAAATCTCGATTAAAAGTTTGAAACCTGAAGAAAAAAACATGTATGCATCTGGTTTTCAATTACGTCATCACAATGTATGCATCTGATTTTCAATTACGTCATAACAATGAATGCATCAGATTTTTAATTACGTCATCACAATGTATGCATCATATTTACTTTTACGTCATCGCAATGTATGCATCAGATTTTCAATTACGCCATAACAAAGTATGCTTCCGATTTTCAATTACGTCATCACAATGTATGCATCCTATTTTTAATTACGTCATCACAATGTATGCATCCGATTTTCAATTACGTCATAACAATGAATGCATCAGATTTACTTTTACGTCATCACAATGTATGCATCTGATTTTCAACTTCGTCATCACAATGTATGCATCTGATTTTCAATTACGTCATCACAATGTATGCATCTGATTTTCAATTACGTCATAACAATGAATGCATCAGATTTTTAATTACGTCATCACAATGTATGCATCAGATTTTTAATTACGTCATCACAATGCATGCATCAGATTTTCAATTACGCCATAACAATGTATGCATCAGATTTACTTTTACGTCATACCAATGTATGCCTCAGATGTTCAATTGTTTCATCACAATATATGCATCAGATTTTCAATCATTTCATCACAATGTATGCATCGGATTTACTTTTACGCCAATGTGATATATACCACCACAGAATGTCCAGCCATAAAGCAGATACAGTCACTTGTTAATAACAGGGGGCGGTCGGGTAGCCTCGTGGTTAAAGTGTTCGCTCGACACGCCGATGACCCTGGTTCGATCCCCGACATGGGTACAATGTCTGAAGCCCATTTCTGGTGTCCCCCGCCGTGATATTGCTGGAATATTGCTGAACGCGGCAAAAAAACATACTCTATTTTGATAAACAAACCCTCTGTACAACTTTCACCTGTGTCAAAACATACCTTGTGTCATCGGACGCCATACTTGCCACTTCGATGCCCAGGAGATGCGGGTCCATCCCCGTGTGGCCTGCGTCACAGACCGTGTGATAGTATCTATACCTCTGCATGTATTTGTCTATATCATCAAAATGACTGAACACGTATGCAGTGTTTCCATCACCTTGTGACCCTCCCAACCTTTGACCGCTTAGACTGGCCTTCACCTTCTTCTGACCCTTTTCACTCGGATCACATCGTACCCTGTCATAGGCTTCCAGGAACCTCTGAAGCCTCGGCCCATCGCCTATCAATGCTTGACTGTTCTTGGCTGACACAGAGAGGAGGGTGTTGGTCGCAGAAGTCGTGGAGGAACGACAGCCGAAACCGTAGATGTTATCACTACCTTCGTCCTCGGCCATGCTGCCTAATCGTGACGTCATGCGTGTGTCCCTCGCTGACGTCACAGCACCTGGTTGTCTGTGAGAAACGTCACAATAACTGCGAATGACGTCATGTGTTTATGACGTCGTTTGAGTTACATGGAAACAGCAAGGTAATATCAATGTGAATGTCGCTCTTGTATCGTTCTGTAAATTTATCAAAAAGATCGGTCCTTGAACATACTCCGCCAGGGAATACATCTATCGAACAATATTCAAAATTGTTTCCACAAACCAGATCATCAAAAACACGTCCCTAAACACAGTTGCAAAACCATCTATCTGGTGATGTAAACTCCGTTTGCCTCAGCAAGTCATTAAGTGAATGATCCGTTCGGTTTCATAACGACGGTTGATGAAATGTTTCCATGACAACCGGGATATCACGAGTGTTGGTATTGATAGCTCGTCTCCGGTTTGACGCCCAAGGTCAGAACGCCAACCACGGCACGTTACACGGCGTTATACAACCGTCCGATCAATGATGCATCTGTAAAGAGATCCAAATAACTGGGTATGCTATTCCATGATCAATACAAGTAATTCAGTTACAATGTAATGTCGCTTTGGTGTTGTATCAGCTTCAAAGAACAAATTCTGGAATAAAAACATAACATCAACACTTATATATATATAAACAAATTATCAAAATTATTTTAGCTACTTTGTTGTTCAATGCCGCAATTTCCAAGCTATATGACGGCGGTCTGAAAACAATCGCATCTGTACCAGTGATTGGTATCATGAGCATCGATCTACGCAGTTGGGAAATGATATGACGTGCATCAACCCAGTCAGCTCTTACGACAAGCATGGGTTGCTGAAGACCAATCCTAACCCGGGCCTTCACGGACATTTTAGCTTCTACGAACTGTAAGATCAATATATGTAACCAACTCAGACATGTCAACAAATATATGTCATTGCGGTAACGGTTGGCCAAAATGGACGCTGCTATTTGCTTTGAAGAGTTGCTTCCCTTTGGTCATGCCAGGATCCACTGATCGCGAGTTCGAATCCCAATGACCTTTGATCTTTCAGCTCCAGGCCCGTGGTTCCATCTACGTCCTGTATTCCTGTGTGATTTTCATCAGCAAGTGTTGTATAACGGAAATACTATCCAATTCGGCGTTGAACTCAACCCACTCACTCATCCACTGAGGTAATCGTCTACAACCTGCCCCATTGGACTATCTGGCCTCATTATGGTAAAAACAAAATATTCTCTCACCTCTATGACATTGGTCACGTCGCTATATCGGTGCAACGTTATTGAACGCGACGTTAAATCCCGTTTCACCTCACCTCTACGTCATGGACGAGGCCATAGGAAACAAACTCCTCACATCGATACTCTTTGGCGTTCGTTCCACGATGATACGTGGAACGTAACGAAGAATGCACGCGCTGGGGTGGAGCTTGATGAGAGCGACGCGCAAATATCTCGGCGTTTATATAGCAAGAAACCAGTTGTCCGCCAATCTCTGTTATAGACGCAATGCAATATTCTCCCAAAGAATGAACCTATTGACCGGCAATAAATATCAGAACCTGCTTATGACACGTCGACTGTGACGACAGAGTGAATTACAACAGCCTCGTTATATGTCATTAAAGCGTATTACTCACCGCGCACTGGTCGGCCCTCTCATATTCGACAGACATGTGAAGTACATTTGTGATCAAGTGGGGAATAAATTCTATCTCACAAGCACATGCTACGGAATAAACAGTAGGGCGACAGTAAATCTGATTATCCTATTTTCGCGCCTGGCTTAAACTTCTAGCGGCCTGGAACACGGTTGCAAGGAATTGACCAGGTTTCCACAAGGACCCATTGACAGACATATTAATAAAAACATGTTACTTGGTTCAAAATTGGATGTTTTAAAAGGTTGTTTTTTTCTAATTTCAGAGGCATTTTAATATTGTTTTGGAACATTGCATTCAATCCAATACTACAAATAAGCGACAAAACCCTTCCCATATCCAATAGAATTCTCTGCATTAAGCAGAGTCCATTTTCGAATCATTATCAAATGTGTTCGCGAAAAGATGAGCGTATCCTGCCCCACCGTCACAAACACATGCAAAGGCAAGTCAATTGTTCACCTGTAAATTAAGCGTTCAAGGAGCTGCTCTTTTTGTCCTGTTGTTAGTAAACCACAAGTCACCTTACTTAAGTCACATAAGCAATTGTCATATTAACACGAATTAGGAAATTTGGGGCCGAATATCGGGCTCTTAATAAGTCCCTGTTGTCATAAAAATTGTTGTGACTGTTTGTTGTGTATGTTTGAAACTAAATGATTTAAGAAAAGAAAACAAATATGGTTTTAATATTTACCTCAGTAAAACCCTACATTCTATATTGATGTTATTAATACAGACCGTTCCTTCCGATTCACAAAGTGATGTTAGCGCTATGACTGTTGCTTGTGAGAGAGGTCCATGTTTAACGGTAAGATCGACACGGGGCACGGTAGCTCAGTTGTCTGAAGCGTCGCGGGGACGGTTGGGTAGCCTAGTGGTTAAGCATTCAAGCGTTACGCCGAAGACCCAGGTTCGATTCCACACATGGGTATATGTGAGAAGCCCATTTATGGTGCCTCCGCCGTGATGTTGCTGGAATATTGGTAAAAGAGACGTAAAACCACTCACTCACTCTAAAAGCGTAGCAGTTAATAGCAACTATCCGCTTAGAGAGTTATGTTGGTTCTTAAGAGATTGCACAGGATATGAGTCTCACAATCCACCTTACCCATCACCGTAAAACCATTTCTTGGGAGATATGAAGTCATAACAAGTGCTGTGTTGGTTATCAAAATAATATTCGTAGTATAAGTCCCACAATCCACGGTACTCGTCAGTGTAAAACCACTTCTTGGGCCCGAGATTATATTTAATAACCACTGGTCGTTTTTTTCCGCTTATAGAGCAAAGCATATGTTTACCAAGAGAATATTCGTAGTATTAGTCTCACAATCAACTTTACCTATGAACGTAAAACCATTTCTTGGGAGATATGAATCAATAGCAACTGTTTTGCGGCTCATAGAGATGACATTGTGTTGATTGTCAAGAGAATATCCGGGGTATGAATCTAACAGTCACGTCCACGATGTCACAATACGTTCACGGTGTCACAATACGTCCACAATGTCACAATGCGCCCACAATGTCACAATACGTCCACAATGTCACACTCCCAGGGAACAACTTCTCACCACACCCCTGATGCGAAAGGACCGGTGTTGACTTGCACAGCTTAAACTCGTAGTTTGTTTTGGCTGCAGGGCTCAGAAGCCATGGTTTTTCCTAATAGGGATAATCTTGTCTTAAGCAGGATCGTAATCGTCTGTTAATGACAGTATTACACGGGTCTGATGATGGCTTACCCGCTTACAACAACGGTTAGTTGATGTAGTAGGCATATCGATATTAAGTAGAGGGAGAGAGAGAGAGAGAGAGAGAGAGAGAGAGAGAGAGAAGGCCTGATCTGATGCTAATATTACGTATGTGTGTTTGTTGTTTAACGCCGCACTCAGCAATATGACGGCGGTCAGTTAATAATCGAGTCTGGACCAGACAATCCATTGACGTGGTACATCATCAGCATCGATCAACGCATTTGGGATACGATAACATGCATCAACCAAGTCAGCTAGACTGACCATTTAATCACAGTCGGAAATAGGAGGATAGAGCTCGACTGGTCCCCTGCCCTTCTCCCACAAGCGGCTGCAGGCGAGGAGCGCAAGCGCTCTAGGACAGGTAAACCAGTCTTATGATTGCTGCCGAAAAACATTAACATGTTTAATCAGAGACCACATAATGGACTGCATACTATATAAATCACCAGTTATTTCCGACGAGTTCAATTATAGTCTTCGTTGAGAGGTATTCAAAGAAGACAGAAATTTGTACACATCTAATAAGTACTTATGTTGGCAAAAATATGCTTTCTTTCCAATGGCTATTTTGTACATTAAATTTGAAAGAAATGTAATTATATCTGAGTTTATATCAAGTACTATATATACATACACGAATATAGTATTATACTGTCCATCGATGACAGTTGTTTTTTTTCCAATCTAAAAATATGTACTATCAATGTAAAAGTTCTCGTCACCATATGGCTGAAGTTATGCTGATGTGACGTTAAGTTTTAACTCACTCACTCACTATATGCTCGAAAACAACATATACGAAATTATTACCACCTTGTTGACAAAATTATATGTAAAATATGTCACAATCTCTTGTACCAGTGTTGACTTATGGAGAAATAAAAAGTTCTGAAGTTCTAAAGTAATCATGTCTGGTTTTCGCCCCGAAATGACCTTTACATTACGTCAACAATGCAACAATGTGCGTGAAATCATTATTACACATAATTCTTCGTATTAATATTATCACCTCACTTAGATCAATATGGATAATAACACCATATTAGGTCATACAATAGTAACCAGCATGCAATGTTTCGTAAAGACGGCTTTTACATCACACACCCTCGTTAGGTTTGTATTGTAATCGCAAGTGGCGATTTCCTTACGTCAACATGCACGCAAGTTATTGTCATAGGAAAATTATTACAACACGATTACATGATCAATATTGAGTTGCGAAAACCAATTGAAAATAACCAGTCGACCATGGCTAAACTATCGCGAATTGGTGTTGTCGTTTAAGGGAAACCCATAACGGGAAGGTTTTATTTGCACTAAAGCAAAACACAAGTTTTATCTCTTTGACACATATGACCTTGTTTAAGACATTTTTAATATATTGATCTATTCTGATTATGATTGATAATAAACCATGTTGCAAAAAACAGGTACTGCGGGCACGGGGCCAGTCGTGTTAACAAGATGGTTGGTTGGTTGGTTTGTTGTTTAAGGTCGCACTCAGCAATATTCCAGCTTATGGCGGCGGTCTGTAAATAATCGAGTCTGGACCAGACAATCCAGTGATTGACATCATGAGCATCGATCCACGCAATTGAGATCGATGACATGGATCAACCAAGTCAGCAAGCCTGACCACCCGATCCCGTTAGTCGCCTCTTACGACAAGCATAGTCGCCTTTTACGGTAAGCATGGGTTGCTGAAGACCTATTATAATCCGGATCTTCACACAACATACGTATTCCAGCTATCATGCGTTGTTATGCGACAATAGTTTAGTTTCACGTATACATATTCTCTTATGGGAAACCATAGGATACTGGGTGATATAGTAGGAATATTGCTGAGTGCGGCGTTAAACAACAAACAAACACACAAAACACTTAAGACCACTGTAGGTTTAAGGGCTCTACAAACGTACATGTATAGGTATAAAACGTTCTCATTTGATAAAATAAATGGCCACAGAATCTGGGCTCTATATCGAAGTAAACTGACACCTTGTAATCACCACAAATCCTTGATGAAAGCATAACTTCTCCTTGTACTTAAGTGTCCCCGCCGTACGTGACGGCATTGCGTGACATTGACACAATCCTATCACCCAATCTTCTCTGGCTAACACCATACAACTGTGTTTCTCAGATTGAATATTTCCGAAGGAATTTAACACATGGTTTGTATAGCGAAATGGTATTAAATTAAGCAGTGATTAAATAAGAAATTAATAATTCTAACAACTGCCTTCAAGGTCGGATTCCGTTTCAACACGAAGGAATGTTTAAGATATATATATATCAAGTCCTCTTATTTAGACTATAAACAGTCTATAAAGAAATACCATCTTTAACAGGAATACTGATGACAATACTCATTGTTAATATTATGTACCAACCTTCAAATCATTTCACGAAGTGGTATAGTGACACAAATAATATGTCTAACATTGTAGAAACTCACCTATGGCACTAATCTTGGAACAGAATCACAAAACCGTAAAAAAGGAAATCCCATCTGAACAACTGGAATAACATCTATAGTTCTTGCTTCGTATCCAGCGTGAACTGATCCGCAGTTTTGCTGGTGTCGAGAACTGGTTTCCTTGGGGTCACGTGGTACGGCGTTAAACTGGGAATCCTCCCACAATGACGCCTACATCCGGGCTATCAGGCGTCAATCCCTCATGAGCTGTGAAGGAGGCCAGACCAGGTTCCCCACCTCACGCCATCTATAGCCACGTGCTAATTTGTGTTAACAATTGATCAGTTGGTCTCGGAGATACAGTGGCGTGTTCCTTTTAACACTGATAATTATTTCTTCAGATGGTACTGCAACAGCAATCATTCGTATAAATAGGTTAATTGGTTCCAGGATTTCTTCGGGGGGCACGTGTTGCCCAGTCGTCTAAGGCGCCGCGATTCGCTGTGCAGAGTTGCGTCCCTTGGGCACGCCAGAAACCTATGATTGTGGGTTCGAATCCCTGTTCGCCCCGATTAAGTTTCTAGGTTTGTCAGCACCATACCCGTGCTCGCGGGTTACATCAAAGTGGTAAACGTCTGAGACCTGCGTCACTTCGAGCTTTCCTCCCACATTAAGCTGACACGCCGTAATATAACTGTAATACTGTTAAAAGCGGCGTTAAACCCAACTCACTCACTCCAGGATGTCTTCACATGATTGAGAAGGATATTTGTCCTCTTGTACTAAAACCCCTTACAATACAAAACGATTTGTTTCACGTCCTTTTCAAGGTAAATCGTTGCAGTCTTTGGGA